TATTCTTGAATTAAACACATATAGGTTGTTCATCTTAGTTTCTTAATTGAATTAAATCACTCAAAACCAAAACCCCCCTTTTTAATTACTAGTTTCATAAAAAGAGAATCATTCCTTTCCATGTGGATACGAACTCTACTACGCTATACTACGTATAAATGTTTAGTATTGAAATTATTTTGACGCACCGTGACAAAGTGCTCGTCATACTCTCACGAAAAAATCAATTAGATCCTCGTACTTTTAAACAAATCAATCAAATCCCTAAACTTTGTAAAAACGTTCAATTGAGTCATTTCGCAGATTACTTATCATGTCACCAGGTCACCCGCTGACATAACACACATGTGGCAGCCCAAGGAGCAGTAAATTTGCTGATGTGACGCACATATGGAAGTCCAGTCAGCCATTCGCTGATGCCGTGACACAAACATGGACTACCACGTGTGTGACACATCAGCGGGTGACTTGCTGACGTGGTTAATAACCTGCAAATGGATTCAATTGAACGATTTCACAAAATTCAAGAATTGAATTTTTTAAAACTACAAGAACCTAATTGAAGGCACAAATAAAATGGTGGAGGCTCGAGGGGAATCTCCAACAAAGTTTTGCACACAAAATGTTGGAGGAAGATGTATGGTCTATTGATAATGACGCACATGTGGATGATGTCACGCCCCGGACCTACCCGGTCACGTCAACAACCCGCCGTACAATACGAATATTCAACAATGGTCTAACATATTCATATTATACAAGGCGTCTCGAATATCATTCACACATAATTCATCCATAAAAATACATAATAAGCAATTCAATACGCAGCGGAAAACATAGTTTGGAAACAAATGCCACACGGGGCAAACATGAGCACACATGCTCTATAGTAAAATATCCATGAGCATGTTTATAAATGTTCAAAAAACAGAATGAAGGAAGCACGAACCAAGTCTTTCTCCAAGATGATCACCCGAGCAACGAGCACATGAAGCAAGCTCTAGCCTCAACCTGAAATGGTGGTGGGACCCCCCCAAAAGGGGGTCAGTATACGGCTATAAAGTACTGGTGAGGATGGCATCTAATAGATATACAACATGTATTTCAAACACAAGACCCTCAAATAGGGTGATAATATAATCTAGGCTGTAACCCCGAGTTACCCCTTTCAAAATATACTTACTTTATATATAAAGTCAAGTAGTTGACCCATAGGCCCAATGTTTGTTTACAAAACATCAACCAAATACCCCGTGATTACCGGTCATGACAATTCATAGGGTCCAACCCTAACACATATGTTTGCATTTCTAGAGTCCAACTCAAGTACATCACCATGCAAATCATATGACACAAGTTAATTACTCCACCGTGCATTTCTAGAGTCCAACTCAAGTACATCACCATGCACATCATAGGCTACAACCTCAAATCTCCCATGTATTTCTAGAGTCCAACTCAAGTACATCACCATGCACATATCAATCACAAGTTAATTACTCCATCATGCATTTCTAGAGTCTAACTCAAGTACATCATCATGCACATCATAGGCTACACCCTCAAATCTCCCATGCATTTCTAGAGTCCAACTCAAGTACATCACCATGCATGTCATCAATCACAACCCCTTGTCTACCCATGCACTTCTAGAGTCCAACTCAAGTACATCATCATGCCATTGCATAGATTCAATTTCTAAGCAAACCTATGCCTAGAATTGAGATATCAATAATTTATTTTTGGGACATCCTTACGGACTACCCATAACATGATCTTAGCTTCATACTAAATCAATTAAGTCACTTGAATCACATTCAAGCACATCACATACAATCAAATTATTAGATTCAATTCTTTGACAATTACAAACAATCATTAACTAGTAATTCAATACTATTAAGATTATTCTTATAAATCAAATATTCTACTTGTAAGTCCCTACATATCTAGAGATATGTAGCATCAACTTAAGCATCCAATATAATACATAAATATTCATTTATGTATCTACACAATTCACACATGAGTAAAAATGCCTATTTTACATAATAGTTCATTTAACTCCATTTTTATCAATATGATTCCAAATCATTTCCAATTCAATTCCTTATCAACTATATCAATATTTCATGAATAATCAATCATCATAATCCATAAAAAACATGATTTATACATTTAGGTAATCTCATGCTTAACCTACAAGTTGTAAGCAACTAGATGTCGATCCTCATCTCAAATGAGCTTTAAATTGTTCCTTCTCAATCCAATGCTCAAGCTTCGGCCAAGGAAGTTTGAGAACTGATTCCTTGCTTATAAATGAGTGTTAAACAGCCTGATCAAGGTGATAGCTCAATCCCTAACCGAAGACACGAAAACAGACCCTAGAACATGTGTTTTCTGACGAGTTCGGTTCCTAACCTTTCAAGGTTTATTCTAGGTTAGTATCTAACCTTTACAACAAATAAAGTAACCTTATAATAACATATTCTAAACTTTAAATGGTTTATAATAGTTATACCAATCGTTCATATCATTTAGATAATGAAAAGGAAGGCTTTGGGTTCAAACTCACCTTGAAGGAACAAATCCGTTTCTGCGAAGTAGCTTCTGCCTTCGACGATTTGGAGGACTTCCACTACTCCGTTTTCTGCAAAAATCACCTTCAAGGATTCCTTATCTTGGTAGCTTTCTGTTGACACCTCACATGCCTTACTTGGATGAGTGTAGCTCAATATATGAAGCAAACAATCAACCTTACGCACCGGAAATTTCCCTGCGGATAGTTTCCTTCTTTCCTCCTCTCTTGGGTTGTGTGGCTCCTTTTTCCTCTCTTATCATTTTGGGTTCGTATGGAGGGATTGTGGGAGTGTATAAGATCCCTCAATCATGTTATCAAAGCATGTGGCTTACAAGAGAGCATGGTAGATATTTGGTTTGCAATCAAATATGAGGTGGACCTCCATCTTTATTTCTTTTTGTATTGTTTGAGCTCACAACTCAATAGGTCCGCCCCATTTATGTGTTCTAACTTATTCTCCTTTTTTTTAGGTCAGTGGGTGACTTGCTGACGTGGTTAATAACCTGCAAATGGATTCAATTGAACGATTTCACAAAATTCGAGAATTGAATTTTTTAAAACTCTTTCAAGAACCTAATTGAAGGCACAAATAAAATGGTGGAGGCTCGAGGGGAATCTCCAACAAAGTTTTGCACACAAAATGTTGAAGGAAGATGTATGGTCTATTGATAATGACGCACATGTGGATGATGTGTGGTTATTAATGGAGTCTGCCATTAACAAAATGGCGAAGGAGATACTCAGAGAATCTAAAGGATGTCTGCCACCAAAAAAGTACACGTCTTGTGGAATGATGAGGTGAAACAAGCAATAAGGACCAAACGGGAATGCTATAAGAAATTAGAAAAAAGTTGGAGCGATGAGAACATAGAGGAGTACAAGGAGGCTAGAAGAAGAGCAAAGAAAGTTGTGAAGGAAGCCAGAGGAAAAGTGAACAAGGAATTGTATGTAAAGTTGGTCTCTAAGGAAGGAGAAAAAGACATCTACAGGCTTGCTCGCCTTCGTGACCGTAGGACTCAAGATATCGGAAAAGTTAAGTGTGTGAAGGATGTCGATCAAAGAGTACTAATGGAGAACGAACAAATAAAAGAGAGGTGGGGGTCATATTTTGATACCCTGTTCAACGGGAATAAAGCGCAAGGTATTGATGATCTTACTATACCAGAGTGTATGATAAACCGGGACTTCATGAGAAGGATTCTAACAACAGAAGTTAAAGAGGCTATGAGAAAAATGGGGCGGAAGAAAGCAATGGGCCCGGATGGCATATCGATCAAGGTTTGGAGATGGTTGGGAGAGAAAGGCATCGAGTGGCTAACACGTTTCTTCAACATGATTTGGAGAAACAACAAAATGTCAGTGAGTTGGCAGAAAAGTACTCTCATTCCCTTATTTAAAAATAAGGGTGATGTACAAGAACGTGCTAACTATCGAGGGATTAAGCTTATGAGTCACACCATGAAACTTTGGGAGCTAGTGGTTGAGCAAAAACTTCATAAAAGTATGAAATTTTCGGAGAATTAATTTGGTTTTATGCCTGGACGCTCAACAACTGAGGCCATTCACCTTCTTAGACAAGTTGTGGAGAAGTATAGAGACAGTAAAAAGGATCTTCATTTGGTGTTCATTGACTCAGAAAAGGCATATGATAAGGCACTTCAAGAAGTCCTTTGGTGGGCCTTAACTAGAAAATGCATATCATGTAAGTATATCAGTATCGTCATGGATATGTATGATGCTTGTACTACAAGTGTCCATACTAGTGTAGAGAGGATCGCATAGTTCCCTATTACTATCGGAGTGCACCAAGGATCTGCTCTGAATCCTTTCTTATTTTTTATAGTCATGGATGAACTTACGGAAGTCAATTCAAGAAAATATACTAAGCTGCATGATGTTTGCAGACGATATTGTATTGATTGATGAGACGCAATCCGGTGTTAAAGCAAAGTTGGAAGTATGGCGACAAACATTGGAGACCAAGAGTTTCAGACTGAGCCGAAACAAGACCGAATATATGGAGTGCAAGTTTGGTGGAGGTAGAAGTAGTAGCAATGGTGGGATTACTCTTGATGGTAAGGAGATATCGGTGTGTGATATGTTCTGTTACTTGGGCTCTATAATTCAGAAGGATGGTGAATTAGATAAAGATGTATGCCATAGAATAAGAGGTGAGTGGATGAAATGGAAGAGTGCTTCAGGATTTCTTTGCGATCGAGGTATGCCGATTAAACTGAAAGTTAAAATTTGAATGAATGCCTTCCCGATTGAAGTTTTAGTTGAAATTTGGTATGAATAAACTAGACTTAATGAATAAGATGTTTACAGAATTTCATCAAAAAATTCTATCTACAACCGCCCCAAATGGAATCAACCGAACAGAACCTCCTATATAACACCTTATTTACATTTTTTGTAAGTTCCAAGTTTTCCCAAAAAAGTTTAGAACCTATCGAGCTTCCGTCGTCATTGCCAGTCTACGTCGGAAGCTGCACCGGAAATCCATAAAACCCTAGTCCGGAGAGACCCCGAACAAGTACATGGGTATTGAACCCAACGCCGATGTGGACACTGGGATTGAATGCAGCGGTGTAAAGCGGGTGAGGGATGATGGTTGTGATGCAGAGAGTGGTGACGCCTCAAAGAAGGCGAGGGTCGAGATGCCTATCGAAGAGAAAGGGCCCGAAAATGTGGAAGGAAGCGAAGATGGGGAAGGAGAGATGAAAGCTGACGAGAGGTCGGGTCCAGTCACTTTGGGTCCGAAAAGCTTTGGGTCGTCGGCAGATATGTTTGATTACTTCTACAAGCTACTTCATTTCTGGACCCCTAATGTTGACATCAACAAGGTATGGAAGGCTCAATCTTTAGAAATACGTTGCCGATTCCTATTTTCCCCCATTATAAAAATCTGAACAGCTCTTCCATTCTCCTGTCTTCCAGAGGATAGTTATTGGCTTATTCTACATGAAGTTTTGCAATAAAAATTCATCTTTATACTAGTATAGTCGTTCTTTCATGTTTTAAATTTGTTGCAGATGTTAAATTTTTCATAAGTATTGTAAAAATTTAGAAGTGCTGATTATGGGATATCTCCGGGAATCAAATTAAAAGATTAATTTTTGAATAAAGTAGTGAGTGTCTTTGTTGCAGTGTCGTTTAGAAACAATAGCTTTATATTCCCAGCTTCACTGTTCTATTTCATGCTCGGAGAAAACAACAGCTAAACTTTTGCGTTTCTTACAGGTTTATATAAAGGGCCTAACCTGTATATTTTAGTCAAGTACAACTATGTAGAATATTATCTGTAGCCGTTAGTACTGTGACCCTTTCTGAGGAGAAAGATGGTATTGGAACACCCTGTATATCCTAGAAGTTCCTGTTTTTTCTCTTCTAGTTAAATCTACAATCTTTTATTTCTTGAATGTAGATAGATATCTTCTTCATATCAGTACCAGCGGATGAATTATCTCTGTCTTTTGAAATGATCCCTCTCTTTAGTAATGAAATTACTGTACTTTACTGATTTGGTTGAGAGATTTGGAGGGAAGATAAATTTAAAAAAGTTGATAAAAGAAGGAGAAGTGAGGCTATAATACAGAACTCTATTAAAGAGTTAATAAAGGATAAGAGAATAACTGAATAAGAAAGGTTAATTAAAAGCCACTAATCACACTTCTCCAAATCCTTCAATCCTAAGTCCTAACATAGCTACATATTCTATTTAAAATCTTTATGTATTATAAAAGGTTGGTGATAACTGAGAGATAGTTTCAATGAGTGATATTGAAATGTTCGACATTATTTTATTTGGTATTTTAACGTCAGTTTGGTGTATGTGCATTTCATTTTGATTTCTAGGTTCTATTTAAAATGAAGAATGCCAGGGAAAGAAAAGTAGAAAACAGAGAGGCAAACGTAGGAAAAAGTTGGAAGAAAAGAAAAAGCTGAGGAAAATAAAATATTGATTCCAAATCATTCAATTTATTTTTAATATTTGATCGCATGCATTATTCTTTATTTATTTTTATTCAAGTACTCAACAATTGAACCATATGTAAAAAATTCAAACTATCAGTCGGATTTCATTTTCTTTCCCATTTTGACGTAAATCTATATCTAAGAAACCAATTATCCTTTACATTTGTTCTTTTCCCTAGCAATTTTCATGATCCAAACATAGCCTCAGAGACGGTAAATAATGTATGATGTTTGTCCCAATCTTGCCACTTTTCTATGTATTTACGATGTTGAGAGGGACTGCAGGGTTGCATCAAATGGTAATTTCAAATATATAAGTGATGTATGGAGTTTGACTTATGGTGGTGTTAATTACAGTATGAACATATGGTGTTGCTAGAACTGCTTATGAAGGGCCATCCAGACCCCCAGAAGAAAATAGGCGAAGGAGTTTCTGCATTTCAAGTTCGAAACCACACTGTATTTAAAACCCGTTGCTTCTTCATCTTAAGGGTGGATGGTTCTGATGAAGACTTTAGCTTCAGGAAGTGTGTTGATCATATACTTCCCTTGCCAGAGAACATGCAAGTAAAGCATAACGCCAATAAGGCCTTGGGTGGTGGCGGCAAAGGCGGAAGAGGAGGAGGAGGTCAGGGTCGAGGCCGTGGCAGAGGAAGGTCAAGAAACTGATTGTACTGCATTTACTATTTTGAATATGCATTTTGGAAGAAAAACAAACACTCCTGCTGAGTCCTGACATTTTTCAACTCGGTACTAGTATATCCAGATTTTGTACCTTTTTGAATTCTCCGGTTCTGGATTGTATCTTCTCGGGTACTCGACCTTAGGTTGCAGCTTCAAAATTTTCATAAATACACATCTTTTTTCCCATTTTAGACATTCAGTCTTCCATATCTTAAAGTTCACTTTAGATTAGTATTTCCTTATATTTTCTAGCATGTTTAGACTTTAGACTCCAAATGAGGAGCTAAACTCTTTATTCATCGTTTTGCTATCTTGAAGCTTGTTGAATGTTAAAATTATGAGTTATTTTCTTAAACTTTGTTCTTGAGTACTCCGTATTAATTATTCCTTTAACCTACATGTATATCGACGTTGGGGTGTTGCTAAGTAATGATTAATTAATGTTAAAACAATAATTGCTACTAGAAACGATCAAATAATCGGTAATTAATCATTTATGGTTTTACAAGAAAGTAACATTGGGTTATTAATGTATGGTCTCATGGTTAGTAATCTAAAGAGAGATTAATTGTGTTGGTTAAAACGAAACTTTTGTATGCATGGAGGTTAGCTTACCTTGTATTGACCAAGTCACATTCCTTAACCAAATATCCACCTTGCCCCGTTCCCAACAAAAGTCATGCCACCTTCATGCCTTTGCCTTGGTGAAGTATAGCCATGATACTTTGGCTGCTACATGTTCCAAAAGTAACCCTCACCTCCATCCCTTTTGCCTCTCTGCTGCTCCGTCATCGATGTCATCTCTCCCATCATTCCACACATCTCGATCTTCTTTGTCTTCTCTTTCTTCTCAGTGAGATGTGGACTTTGTCTTCTTCTCATCAAATTGTTGGTGCTATGTGGTGGATATGACTTCAAAGTACAGTTTCAATCTATATGGTGGAGATGACTTCCAAGTCGGTAGTGTGGCAGCTCGATTTGCACATCTGTGGGTTGATTCCCAAACCCTATAGTTAGGGTTTACGACATATAGGTTTACGGCCACCTGTAGAGTGAAAACCAGTGTGATGGTGTAGTGTTTTTTCGCATGGGCCCTAGGACAGTGGCGAGAGGCAGGGCCAAGGCAACGTAGGGGTAGGGACGATATGTTGGCAATGGGCAAGGAGTGGCGACTAGGTTTACACTAAGGCATCCGTACGTTGATCGTGAACCACCAATGAGATAGGCATGCATGTGCTTCATGCGAGAAATAAAGATAGGTTTCAAGAGCATGGTGGTCAGAGGTGGTGGCGCTAGGGTGAGGCACCGACATCATTACCGGGGTGGAGGATATCAACGTCACTAGAAAAAAAGAGTCACTAATAATTGGTGATCATGTACGTTGATCATTGTGGTTGGCTGTGGTCACGTGGCAAGTGGTGATCGCTGTGACCGACGATGGTCACTGGTTCGCAATGATCATCGTGATCAGTTTTGGTCATGGAGTATTGGGATTTAGAAGGGTAAACTAAGTAAATGCATATAGGGATTTGTAGATTTAATACTTCATTAGTCCCATCTTGGAAACTCAAAAAAGTCTTTTTTTTGTCTATTTCTTATTTTGTGGTAATATTCTTGTCAAAACCCTTACATGACCATATACTTAATGGAACCAAAGTTAAGTTTTGGAACATATAAAACCAAAATATGTATAATGAGTAGATATGTGACTTAGTAATTTTTAGTGACTATAATTATATTTAAATAAAATTCTATATTGTCATGAGTGTAAAAGTATACTCCTAGTCATGACTTAAGTCACTTTTTTATCTACAAGTTTTATTTTAGTAATACTTTAGGAAACTCTTTTAAGTTTGTCATTGGCAGATCTCTGGCGACATTACTAGAAAATAAAAAATTATGAAACTCGTGTTATCTCCGTCCGATTAGATATTGTTTTGCAATACTTGAGTAATGTGTGAAATATAAAAAGTAAAAATTTGTGTTGAAAATTATGCAGAGAAGAGATAGATAAGTAAAATCATAAATTAATGGCTAAAGGGTCAAATAGGCCTCTGTACGTTTACGAATTGCTCAATTCGCACCCCGAACCAAAACAACCTCCGATCCGGTCCACCAACCTACCTAAGTTGTGCAATCCTTACATCTACCCGGTTACCTCCCGTTTTCTCCCCTTAAAAGCCAAGTCAACAAGTTTTTCCTCTTAAAAACCCTCATAATTTGCTGACTCATTAATTCGTCCCACTCCAAGCTGTCTACGTGTAATGAAAACCCCATTAACGCTTTAGCTATAAAGAGAATTAGCGAATGAGCCCTAATTTCTAAGTTTGAACTGCCATAGGCAAAGGCGCTATACCAGAGCTCGTACAGGAGAAGAGGAAGAAACCTTTTGCGCTGAAGGCGAAGCCCTGGATTGAAGACTCCAAGGTAAACGAAGTCACTGACTTTATTCATTTGCATTTACTGTTGTCTATGTCATTCGTATTTAGTGGTGTACGCAGTGAGTATAGAAGCCATTTATGATGGGTATATTTTCTTGTATCAGAATGTGGGAAACATTGGACATCATTTTACATATGGTGGCAACCTAGAATCATGCTCTCCTATGGAGTATACCAATGGACGCATAGAGATCATCAAAAGTGACCCTCATGTAGTAAGTTATCCTCATCTAAAAAAGTTCATAGAATCTAGACCATTTGAGGGATTTGGCAAGCTTATGTATAAACTGCCTCGTGAACCCTTGGAATCTTTAAGGGAGTTAGTTGATGATGCTACCTGATGGAGTATATGGGTCTGAGCCCCCGGATCCACATACTCAGAAGAACAGAAAGCACAAGACATAGAGTGGCGCCCTCGTCGGCCAAGGGACCCCCGTCGGCCGAAAAGGTGCCAACTCAGATTATGGTCCTGAGCCCAAGGAACCCGGGTGCCCTCGTCGGCCGCGCCCTCGTCGGCTGTGCCCTCGTCGGCCGCGCCCTCGTCGGCCACAAAGACCTCATAGAACCGGATTCTACACTTACTCATTTGTACAGCCCATTAGTGGCTTTGTATTCGGCCCAGTAGCGGTCCAGTTGTAAATGGGCCTCCCAAGCCCAAGGCTTGGGAGCCCAACCCGTATTTTCTCTATAAATACTCCCCTTGGGAGTAGTTATAGGGGTTACAAATTCATTCTATTGAAGCATATTATTGCACTTCTCTCTAGATATACTCTATCATTTGGTGCTCTCGTTGAGAGCTGAAACAATCAAGTTAGCACCCTTCGTCGCTACCAAGCACAGCTAACCACTGATCATGGGAAGAACTAAATCAAACCGCAACCTCGTCAGCAAGGCCATCCCTGAGGACCAAGAGGCCAGGGAGCACGATGAGGACGCCACGGCCGACCAGGTCGGCGGAGGGGACGTCTTCCAGGAGGCCTTCAACCTCACGACGGACCTCCGCAACCAACTCAACGGCGGAGCCCCTGATGCCCGCATCGGCTTGGACAAGAAACGAGCTGAGAAGACGGACCACGCCCCGGCCCAGCCTATGGCCGCGGCCTCTCCGCCCGTGGATCCACAGGTCCAGGCCGCGCTGTCGGTCATCATCGCCAGCCTGGCTCAGAACCCCACCGTCCTCAGCGCACTCTTGCCAAGGACCGGGGGGAACGTCACTCCTCCTCCTCAGCCCCAACCGTTGGGCGTCCAGATAGGCAACGATGAGGGGGTGATGGCCCAGGACACAGCGTCGTCCCACTCCCACCCTGCTTCCCCTCTTCGGCCTGGGCAGACCCCAGCGCGTGGAAAAGCCTCTGCCTTCAACAGGCTAGGTGACACGCGCCGTCGTCCGGTTTTGGAGAGGATGGCAGGACGGATTGGTGAGCCTCGGCCTGGCTCGCCGAGGGAAAGCTTGGGGTCTGTGTCCCGGACAGCGGACCAGCCCCGCCCGGACAAGGGCAAGGGGAAGTTGCACGAGGACGACGTGCGCCACCAGATCAATGCGGCTCACAACGAGCGCATGAGGAACCAGCTGGGTGCCGCTGCGGCCGCCAGGGACCCCCGGGACGAGGTCATCGCCCAGCTGGAAAGGAGGCTGGCTCAGATGGAGGCCAAGAAGTCGGCCAACATCCCTACGGCCAGCGCCTCCAACGACCCCGGCCTCAACGCGCTCATGAACAAGGTTAGCGCCCTGGAGAGGGAGCTGGCCGAGGGGCGAGGTGATCCCATCATCCAGGTCAGGACCAGGACCCCTTTCACCAACAGGGTCCTCTCGGCCCCCATCCCGGAGAAGTACAGGGGAAACGCCATCAAATCCTACGCCGGCCGATCAGACCCCCAGGTACACTTCAGCCGTTATCAGAACAACATGCTGATGGTGAACGCGTCAGACGAATACCTCTGCCGTTGGTTCCTCTCTACTCTCGAGGGGCCAGCGTACGAGTGGTTCAACGGGCTCCCCGAAGGGAGCATCGACTCATGGCAGGATCTTGCCCAACGCTTCCTCACCCACTTTGCCGGGAGGAAGCGTGCGAAGAAGTATTTCACCCACCTCCTCTCCGTCAAGCAGCAGCATGATGAGTCCCTCCGGTCATTCATTGATCGGTGGACGAGGGAGACCGAAGAAGTCGAGGGGGCCGACGAGCGCACCCTCCTCGCCTTGTATCAGGGAGCCCTCCGCAGCTCCCCGTACGCTAGGAGCCTCATCACCGACCCCCCGAGGTCGTACGCCAAGGCGCTCCAGCGCGGAGGCTTGTACGCCGACGCCGACGAGCTCCACAATCACAAGAAAGAGGGGGGTCATCCCTCCAAGAAGACAAATCCTTCGCCGGCCCCGGGTCCGACCCCGGCCGGCCAGGGTGCCCAGGGCCGTCACGGCTCTGGTGGACAGAGTAAGAAAGATCGCCACTGGCGACCGAGGTTGGAACGGCCGGGGGTTTCCCTCACTCACCCGGTCGGCATCATCCTCGACTATGCCGAGAAGCATGGCCTCATCGAGCAGGCCCCTCGGCCGGCCGAGGAGGTCCTTGCCATCCAGCAGGGCGGCACATACTGCCGGTTCCACAAGAACTCGTCGCACAACACCGACGATTGCATCACACTGAAGAAGGCCATCGAGCGCCTTATTCGCCAGGGGGAACTCTCCCAGTTTGTTAAAGGTGGCCCACGCAAAAACACATGGGTAAACACCGGCAAACATGGGGGCGAACCCTCTGCGAAGAAGCGGGAGATTGGTAGGCTCAGCGATGACGAGGACTTCGAAGAGCCCCCACCAAAGAAGAATCACATTCACCTCATCGTAGGTGGGAACACTGGGGGGGACTCCGCCACTCAGAGAAAGAAATGGGCCCAATCCCTCTACATTGGG